GGCACTAAGATCAATGATAAATAAATGGGACCTTATGAAACTGAAAAGATTCTGTATGATAAATGACACCGTCATTCAGACAAAGCAACAGCCTACAGAACAGAAGATTTTTGCCAACTTCACTTTCAACAGAGGACTAATACCCAAAATATATAAAGAACATAAAAAACTAGATATCTAGGATACAAACAACACAATTAAAAATGGGATACAGATCTAAACAGAGTTTTCAATAGAGAAAATGCAAATGACTTAGAAACACTTAAAGAAATGTCCAACATTCTTAGCCACAAGGGAAATGCAAATAAAAATGACTCTGAGGCACCAGGCAGAATGACTAAGATCCATAACACAAGTGACAGCTCATGCTGGTGAGTATGGGGGACAAAGGAACACTTCTCCATTGCTGAGAGGAGTACAAACTTGTAGAATCACTGTGGAAATCAGTATGTTAGCCCCTCCAGAAAGTGAAAATCAATCAACCACAAGATCCAGCTTTACCCATCTTGGGCATATACCCAAAAAGTGCTACTATGTATCCTATTACAGTGATACTTGCTCAACTATGTTAATTACTGCTCTATTCGTAATAGTCAGAGGCTGGAAACCACCTAGCTAACTGTCATCAGAAGGCTGGATAAAGAAAATGTGGTACATTTACACAATGAAACATTACTCAGCCATAAAAAAGAGAAGAAATCATGAAAATTGTAGGTAAATGGATGTAAATAGAAAAAAAAAACAACTTCCTGAGTGAGAATCCAAGACCCAGCAAGAAAAACATGGTATGTTTTTACTTACATGTTGATATTGGTTGTTAAGTCAATGATAACCAAGTTACAATCACAGATGCACATGAATACAGAGTAACAGGCTAGGAGGTACAGGTAGAGCTTGTTAGGAAGGGAGGTAGAATAGATGTTTGTGGATGTAAAGGGAGTCTTGAAAGGGAGGCTCAAGTTGGGAGGCACAGGGTAAGAGCACAAGGAGAAACAGCTAAAATCCTGGGATATTTGCGGGGTGGTATGGAAACCAAATGCTGTAGGAGTTTCCTAATGCATACATACATGAAGCATGTATCATTACATACTAAATCATACTAACTGAAATCTCCAAATAATGTGGAGACAGAGTCTAAACTGGCCATTATTTGTCATCTACATAACTTACTGAACAAAAATCTGCCTTGTATCTGCATAGAGCCTTCAACACTATGTGCTGGTGTCCTTGGTAGAGGCAGGTGCTCTGCCCTCTGCCAAAAGAGAAACATAAACACCAAGCCAGCCACAAACCTTTTGCTCTACAGTGGTCTCCTCCCTGAAAGTGATGCTGGTAGTGTGGTGGCAGAGAACTTGTGGGAGTGACCAGTCATTAGCTGATCTAACATGAGATGGTCTCATATCGACACTGCTAGGATGGTAACCAGTTGATAGCTAATCTAACACGAGGCCACTCCATGAGATGGTACTCTGAGACTAAAGCCAAATACTCTGGCTTAAAAAATGTAGCAATAAAATGATTTCTAATGACACTCTACTATACTCATACACCATCGCCTTCTTGCGAGGCTTCCTCTTGCAGCCCTTGGGAACAAGTCCAGACACCCTCAGCCAGATATGATGGAGAGAGTAAGAGACCTTGAAGTGTACATCTCCAAATGGGAGGCATCCATCAAATTCTTCCTTTCAGGGCCCAGAAAGCCTGGTGGAAGAGGAGGCAGAAAGAGTGTAAGAGCCAGAGGGGATGGAGGACCAGGAGAACGAGGTCCTCTAAGCAGACATGATCAATGCTCGGGTGAACTCACAGAGCCTGAGGAAGCACACACGGGGCCTGCACAGGTCTGCGCCAGGTCCTTTGGGTTTATATTTTGATTTCTAGCTTAGGGTTTTTCTGAGATTCCTTAGTGCATGGACACGTGAGTCTCTGATTCCTGTGTATTCTCTTGGGCTCTTTTCCTTTTGTACGTTTTGTCCAATGCCAATGTGTTAATTTTGTATTATCATACTATATTTTTATCCATTAGAAGCCTGTTTTTTTATTATAATGAAAGACAGAAAGAGAGTGGATCTGGATGGGAGGGAAGGTAGAGAGAAAATGAAGGGAGTAGAAGGAGGAGAAACCATAAAAAGGCAACATTATGTGAGAAAAAAATCTATTTTCAATAAAAGGAAAAATTCAAAATGGACAAAAGTGAAGCAAACACCCCCCCCCACACACACACAAATCAGAAAGGAACAGGTGAGAACAGCTCCAGGACAGTAGTTCCAGAAGTGTTCATAAATTGAAAGTCACTACCTGGGTATCTCCCTGGGTATCTCCAATTATCTGGGAGTCTTCACTTTTCTTCCGGTCAGTATTCCCAGTTTATGGCCTAGTCACAGCAAGTTGGATGCGTGTGGCCATTGTGGTGGAGGTGGGATGTGAGTGTTATGATGGAGCTCAAGACAGAATTAGCTGCACCCATCTGAATCTCAGAGAACATCAGATACCAAGAACACTAAGACTTTCTGCTTTGTAGCCTGCAGAGCTGAACAAATTCTTAGGAAAGGAGATTTATATATTGCATAATTATGGTTGATTCCTACTGTGGTAATCTGCCAGTCTGACCTGTCACCTGGGTACCCTGCCCTTTAAGAGACAAGCCTGCCCACTCCCAACCTCCCCTTCTTCCTAGGCAAGTGAATCTCCCACCTCCTCTCCAGGGCTCCCTCTCTCTCTTTCTCTTTCCCTCCCTCCCTCCCTCCCTCTCTCCCTCCCTCCCTCCCTCTGTCCCTCCCTCTCCTTTTCTCCCCCTCTCTCTTTCTGTTCATCTTCTGTAGAGACAACTTCTGCCTCTCTCTTCTCCTCCCTTCTCCCCTTTCCCCTCCACAACCTACTAAATAAACTCTATACCCAAACTCTCTGCATAGCCTATCTGTCTATCTGCCTATCTGTCTATCTGTCTCCAGCTGAAGCCTCAGGCCACCTGCCAGGGGATCCGCTGAGGCCTTGGGTGACCCTTGTCACCCCAAGTGGGACTGGTCCCCCACCACCTCTTTATAAAGGATAACATTGGTGTGTGACTCGGCCAGGCTCTCTCCATGTTCTTTCCCACCCATGGGCAGGCCAGCTGAGGACACATGGGGACCCTGGACTCAGACCACTTTGAACATCCTGTGCCTGATCCATTGCTTCAAATGGTAAGGTCCCTTCTCCACCTCAGCTTTCGTTGGCATTCATCTCTGGTTATTCCCCACAGTTAAAGACTGAGATTTGGCTCCTCACCACTGGGACTTTTGTCCTCTTTCAGGCCACTTGGAATGGTCCTATCTGGTCCCCAATTCCTGTACCTACAGGTCTCAAATTGGTCTGGCCTAGCGGGCGACTCTCGCATTATCCAGAAGATCTTCTGGTTAAGAGCTCTTGGGTCCTTGCCTTTCTCACGCCTTGGGAAATAGACCTAAAACTCTCTGTCCAACCCTCCCCCCGCTGTATGTCTTTTATAGACTCTAAAACCTCTGCCTTATTACAGATTCCTAACCTTACCCGCCTTTGCACTAACAAATGGCCTATGTACCCCTCAAATAGCAACCTAAAGAGGGAGTTTTCTAATTTCTACCAGCAAACAGGCAGATCAAAAAGTTTCTATCCAGTCATGATCCGTATTACCGGTGTCTCCCTGGCATCTCATGCAGCTCCACTTTCCTTTCACTGGGCAGCCCCCCCCCCCCCCCCCGTGCGCGCGTTTTCTCACTTCTATTCCTTTTCTTGCTCCTATTCTATCTCTGCCGCTGCTACAACTGCTGGTCCCACAGTAGTGGGCAAAACTTGCTGGATCTCAGGCGGCCGTTCCACTCTTAGCCCTCACTCCCTGCAGCAACTGGCGGGGGCTGGCACCCGACTGCTGGCAGTGCTGAGTAATTTTCCTGTCTACTTCATGTAGGAAAGAATGTATGAATGTTGTGGCCACACGGATGTAATTCTGTTTTAAATGCATGCTCTATACAGCGTCTATGTCTCTCTTGTTATTTGTGTCTGTTCAAAATTCCCGCCACATCTCTGAAAATGCAATTTCTCCATACAACACGTGACCACCGCCATTTTGACTAAGGGCAAGTCAGATGACCTCACCACCATCTCCTCTAAGAGCAGGTTAGGTAACCAAGTCACCATCTTTACTGTGGTATTCCTTGTCTTGTCTCATGGTTTGCTTATGCTTTTGTCTCTAAATTCGTCTTACTGACTCTGATACATATGTGTTTTGCTCAGTGACATGCTTTCAGTGGGGACCACCAACGAATCCACTTCACCCAACTCCTATTTAAATATATGTGTGTGTATGCATGTGATTTTTGAGTTAACTTTATATATGAACATAAGTTAGCTTTAGCTCTGTGTGTATATGTGTATAAAACTTAAATTCAACTATGTTTAAATGTATATGTAATTACTGTTAAAAATGTTTTAAATAATCTGTTCCTTATATCTCACTCCAGACTAAAAAGCAATGTCTCATATTTTAAATTGATATGTTCTTTTAAATCTCTTACAAAAATGCTGTATATGTGATTCAAACCTGCTTTAAAATATATTAAGCTGTTCTCCACTATTGTCAGTTCCACCAATAAGCTTCTATTGCAAACAGTTTTTTTCTGTTAAGTTAAAAACCAGTGCAGTCAAACTTGGACCCAGCTCTCCAGGCAGATCCTATGCTGTAGTTATAACTTATCTATACCCGATAAACAGCCCTTGACTGCTTAGAGATCTGGGGAATATGACATTTAAATGTTTAATTATTAAAAGACATTTCATAACAGAGAGACAGGTTGGCTCGCAGCAGCACCCCACTTCCTCCAAAGAAGACAGAAAACAGAAGGACACCAAGCAAAGTCCATTCTCAATTTGCTTCAACTGCCAAGTGCTGACCACTGGGAAAACGGCCTTTCATCTAAACTGAAGATCTCCAAACTGTAGATAGAATCATTGGAATCGATTGCCTAGCTGCTCAGGCCAAGGTAGGCTTGTCTTCCTTCAGATTTCCTAATCCACAAGTTCTTCTAAAGTCTTACAGGCCTTGCTTCTAACAGCAGAAGACATATACAGTCCTGATGGTCTTGCCCTCGAAGACCATGGAGGATGCTGAGGAGTGAGTCCTCTAGAGTAAGTCCCCTGTCATTTTTGATCAATAATTTAGTAAAACTTTCTATTTTATTGATTTTATTGAGCTCTACATTTTTCTCTGCTCCCCTCTCTTCTTCTCCCCTTCCCTTCAACCCTCCCCCAAGGTTGCCATGCTCTCAATTTACTCAGGAGATCTTGTCTTTTTCTACTTCCAATATAGATTAGATCCATGTATGTCTCTCTTAGGGTCCTCATTGTTGTCAAGGTTCTCTGGGATTGTGAATTGTAGACTGGCTTTCTTTGCTTTATGTTCAAAAGTCACTTATGAGTGAGTGTATGTGATGTTTGTCTTTCTGGGTCTGGGTTACCTCACTCAATATAATGTTTTTTGATCCATTCAATTGCCTGAAAATTTCAAGATGTCATTATTTTTTTTTCTGCTGTGTAGTACTCCATTGTGTAAATGTACCACATTTTCCTTATCCATTCTTTGGTTGAGGGGCATATAGGTTGTTTCCAGGTTCTGGCCATGACAAACAATGCTCCTATGAACATAGTTAAACGCATGTCCTTGTGGTACAATTGAGTATCTTTTGGATATGTACCCAAGAGTGATATTGCTGGGTCTTGAGGTAGGTTGTTTCCTAATTTTCTGAGAAATCTCCATACTGATATCCAAAGTGGTTAAACCAGTTTGCACTCCCACCAGCAATGCAGAAGTGTTCCCTTTTCCCCACATCCTCTCCAGCATAAGTTGTCATCAGTGTTTTTGATCTTGACCATTCTTACAGGTGTAAGATGAAATCTCAGAGTAATTTTGATTTTCATTTCTCTGATGGCTAAGGATGTTTAGCATTTCCTTAAGTGTTTTTCAGCCATTTTAAATTCCTCTGTTGAGAGTTCTCTGTTTAGGTCTGTACCCCACTTTCTTTATTGGATTATTTGTTCTTTTGATGACCAATTTTTTGAGTTCTTTGGAGATCAGCCCTTTGTCTGATGTGGGGTAGGTGAATATCTTTTCCCATTCTGTAGGCTGCCATTTTGTCTTGCTGACTGTGTCCTTTGCTTTACAGAAACTTCTCAGTTTCAGGAGGTCCTATTTATTACTCAGGTTCTATTTAGGATGTGACATTCTGTGGTAATGCGTTCAAGTGTCCTTCCCGCTTTCTCTTCTATGAGGTGCAGTGTGGTTGCCTATTTGTTGAGGTTTTTTTTATCCATTTGGACTAATTCAAGTAAAACATTTTTCTTGTCAAAGATCTCTAATACAGTTTGACAGCTGAGAAGCTTTGTCAGTTTCAAAGGACAATGTCATCAAATAAATTTCAGTATAACTTCTTAACATGTTCTAAATAAAAGAAGATCTACAAATGCAAGTTATTAAGGTGTGTACCTACAAGTTACAAAGGTGTGAGTACAAATACAAGTTATCAAATTTTTCTCTCACAGTGCCTTTCATAGTCTTAAAGATACTTTTCATTGTGGAAAATTATCTGTCACAGTTCTTCTGACCTAAATATGCTGCTGTTTACACAGTGCTTATGCCTCAAACTTATGTTTTTACCAACTCAAAAATCCTTGTGAATTCCAGGGAGCCGAATCAAAGGATCCACTTTAAACAGGTCAGATATGCCCCTCTCAATTACCTGGTCCTGAAGAAACATTTTTTCTTCATAAACTTAACTTTGTTCTCTGCTCTGCCAAAATTCTGCCAGGTCCAAGAGACACCAGATAGTTCCATATCACAAATCCTGGACAGCAGTAAAGTGACCAGTTACCCCAGGATGCGACCAGCACCCAGCTTTCTCAGGCCTCCCAAGAAAGACTTTGATGCCTACAAATAAGCAGAAAGCAGTCTTGAGAATCCGCTGTCCCAATTCCCTCAGCCTGCTATGCCTAACTCCCCACCTGCTTATTATAAGAGAAAGATGGGAATGTTGTACTATGCTGGCCTGGCCTTTCACCTGGGTATCCTATCCCTTTAAGAGACAAGTCCTGCCCATTCCCAACCTCACCCTGGCCAGGTAAACAATTCTCCCACTTCTTCTTCAGTTCTCTCCCTCCCCCCTTTCTTTCTTCTTCTTCTGGAGAGGCAAATTCTCTCTCTCTCTCTCTCCCTCTCCTTCTTCTGGAGACGCAAATTCTGCTGCTCTCTCTTTCTTCTTCTCGAGAGGCAAATTCTGCTTCCCTCTCTCTCTCTCCTCCCTACCCTTCTCCTCTTCCCCTTCCCTTTCCCCTCCATAACCCACTAAATAAACTCCACACCCAAACTCTTTGTATGGTGTATCTATCTGTCTGTCTCCTACCAAGGCCTTGGCTGTCCCACCACCACCCCTTGTGGGACTGGTCCCTGCACTACCTCATTACAAATGATAACACACACTATAAGTTTTAGCTTTAAATATTGATAATAAATCCATTATCAATTGATAATTGAGCAGAGCCTGTGTTTATTCTTTTCTTAATTTATTTTCAATTGACCAGCAAAAATTGTATACTTAAATCCATAATGTTCAATGTGGTGTTTTGCGGTGTGTATACACTGCTGAAAATGCACCCCCAGTATGATGCTTAACCTTTTGCTGTGGTGACTAATCAACATTTATTCTCTTCCCACTTTTCAGCAAAACAGTACCATGCCATAGTCACCTATTTGTATTATAGATCTCCTAAGCTTATTTTTCCCCACATGACTGAAATCTTACATTCCTTGCCACAGATCTCTCCGACCTCCCATTCACCATTTCTGCTGTCTGCTGTCAGTTCAGTGCTTCTAGAAGATACATTTAAGTATTTTACTTTCTCACCTGGACTATTGCATGAAACATATATTTTATGTTTTCGTAGGCCATCTGCATTTTGTAGATGTTTTCTTTTTAAACATTACATGATATTTCACTGTGTTTATGTATTACATTTTCCTTAATGGGCCTCTGTTAATTCATACTTCTTGGCTCTTCATCATTGACCTCTGAAAAACAATAGAAATGTTTTATATAAAATACATTTTTCTAAGAATTTCATACTGGATTAATGTTTCCGTATTTGTTCCAGCAAAAACTGAGCATAATTCTCCTTCAGAAAATAAATGAGAACATGTAGTAGCTTGGTTATTTCATGTATGCTGTATCTCCCAAAGATCTATTTAAATCTCCACTCTCCCCTCTTGTCTTTAGGAACTTCAGTTCCATCCAGGTACAATAGTTGTACATCTTCTGATTCTGGAAGCTGTGCTGGAAATGTTGTTAATATGGGAACTTTGGGTGCGGGAAGGAACAAGTCAGAAGGAGAAATAATGAATGAGGTAATTTATCGAATCCCCCAGGACTTATGATTAATCTGCAAAGGGACTGAGGAATAGTGAAGGCCAGATCTCCATTTGGATGGGACACATTTCAAGATAACAATTGGATTCTGGTGTCAGAGATTATGTGTACCATGTAAGAGAGCAAGAACTCAGAAAGCACCCTCTACCTTGGCAGTCACCTCTCTCATTTCCTTCCAGTGAATCAGCCTGTGTGCACTGTGGGTGGTAAGGGGGAATGGGAGGACTCAGAGGAAGAACAAGGTGGAGGTCACAGCCAGACAAGGGAAGAAAGGTCTCTGTCACCTACATTTGGCTCACATTATCTTGTTCAGCAGACTGATTTAGAAAACCTTTCTCTTGGCTTTGTAAGAGATAAGGAGAGTGGACAAGGAAAGAAAGACAAGATGGGTTGAAAAAAGAATGCAAGGACACAATCAGGATAAGCAAGCAAGAACCTGGAGTGAGTGAGTCCCTGTGCTAACAGAACCACTTGGCGGGAACACGAAGTGGCTCTTGTTTGTCCTGTTCACCAGCTCCTCAATCCCTTAGTCCTCATCCTTTGCATTTCTTCATGCTTTATGCATGCTTGAGTAACTGTGGGGATCCAGAAACTACTTAAGGGGTGACAGACACAGACGGTGGCTAGCAAGTCAGTCGGGAATGACGCCCCCTTCCCATAGTTCACAGCTTGGTGAGAGAAGTCAGACTGTAGGCAGATGAGCAAATGAATAAGCAAGAGCAGAGGTGTGGTCAGAGTCCAGAACCATAGGCGTGCATGGCCCAGCCTCTCTCGTCACCACTGAACAAAGTGCTATTTGGAAGCACCAGAGAGAACCTACTGTTCCAGGCAATGGCAACTGCCTGTAGTTGTGAAATGAAGAGAGGAGTCCTTAGAGGTGGTAGAAGGGTCAGCACGGCGGGAGATTGCTCATGGAGCTTGAGGAAGTGGTTATTTACCTATTTACAAACCAGCATACAAAGCGTTTATTATCTTCACCACTAACTCCGTACTGGAAACAACCATCCGATATGAGCTCTGTGGTGTTAGAGCCTGGTGGTAGGGATGGGGACTGGAGGGGAATTGGCAGGGGGCTCTCCAGAGAGCAGTTACTGTGGCTAGGGAAACCAGCAAAGGCCTGTCAGAGACAGTAGCAAGCAAACGAATCCCTGGATAGCAAGAAGAAAACCGCAAGGGACAGTCAGCCAGTGAGCAAGTGAGGGCGAGGGGTGAGTATTCTAGCCAACAGCCAGAAAAGCTAAGGAAGAAGAAAAGAAGCTTGACACACACGTGGAACCGGAAGGAGCAGCGTGAAGCTGAGGCAGCTGGCACACAGGGCAGAGGGACTGGGAAGGAACTAGAGGGTTAAGCACAGGCCAGATCTTGTGAGGCTTGGTAGGCTGTGACAGGAACGTGAAAACAGGAACTGTGGGAGGAATGATTCAAGGCAGTGAATGACCTGGCATAGCTGGGGATTAGGGAGAGAACAGAGAAAAGGTTGTTCTGGCCTGGAGATAGTGATGGGAACATAGGGCAACTGTGAAAAGGCAGAGGGGAGCTGACTGGAGACTTATTCAGAAGCTGTGCTGGTTTTTAAGCTACCTATGTACAACTTCCATGTTGTGCCTAAGGAGGTGAGGCTTAATCATTTCTGCCCCTCAGTGTGGACTGGAGTGTCAGATGTCATTTTGAACCTTAATGAGGGCAGGATTCTCTGAATGTGGCTGGCCTGGAGTCTTTCTGAGAAGCCATTGACAATGACACTGGGACTAGTTTCCTCTGCATATACTGGATTTTTGGGATCCAGTCTGTTTGGATACTCACCTTCCTGGACCTGGAGGGACGGGGGAGGAACTTGAACTTCCCACAGGGCAGGAAGCCCTGACTGCTCTTAGGGATGGAGAGGGAGGAGGAGAGGGAGGGGGGAGTGGGAGGGCGTTGGGAAGAGGGGCATAAATGGAAACTTTTTATAATTTAATAAAATTACTTTCAAAAGAAAAAAAAAAGATGAGGGCTTCTGATCAGGGTTCAGGGTGACTTGCTCTTTCACTCTGAAAGATAGCTCACTTCAAGAGAGAGTATCTGTCTTGTTCTGCCACAGTTCTGGGTACGAGCCTCTGAGGCAAGGGACTGCCATCTGTACGGAGCTCTGTGACTTACCTGGAAGCCTGACTTCACCTCTACTACCTCAGCTGAACTTTGTGACGATTCCAAAACCCTGACTGCCAGTTTTGCTGCCAGCTTGAGTGCCGTGGCAGAAACTGCTCTGACTGTGCCCGGATTCCTGATCCGTAGATATTAAGATAACGAAGGTCCGTCATCTTTTAGGCTTGGTGAACCAGTGATTTCGTGGGTGACTTACAGGAACATGAATGCCTCAAGGGCAGTTATGTCAATAAAAAGTCCAATCCAGCATTGGTGATTACACCTGAAAGCTGAGTACCCGGTACTCCCTGTTCAGCTTGCGAGGCTGCTTATGTGAGCTCAGGAGGAAAGGCTAGCCTGCCTTGTGATCTTTAAGATGTAAACAGATTAGTCTTACTTCTTTGAATACTTTCTATGTGTATATAATGTACTTTGATCATATTTGAACATAGTCACCCTCCCCCAACTCCTCCCCCAGAATTCCTTCACCTCTACCCGCTCCCAACTTCTATTTCCTTCTCATTCTAGTCCGAGTCTAGTTTGTGGTACATAAACTCCTGAGTGTAGGACCACCAGCCCGAGCAAAGTTCACGTATCCAGGCCAAACTCTTAAGGACAATTGACTCTCCTTTCTCAAGCAGCCATCAGCTGTCAGTAATTCTTCAGCTGCGGACGGGGCCTCACAAACACCTCCTCCCTGCTGTCTTGCTCCACGCTCCATGCGCTTCCTTGCTCTGCTCCCTGTCTTGACCTTGCACACAGCTTGTGTGGGCAGCCACAGTTTCTGTGAGTTCGTCAGTGCGGTGGTCCTGGGATGTCCAGAAGACACCGTTCCACATCAGTACTCCCTGCCTTGGATCCTAAAATCTTGGGGTTCTGTCTTCCCTTGTAGGGAAGCTGTTGATATGAGTGTCTGTTGATAGGCATTGCCCACTAGACTCCGGTGGCAAGACCCTATTGGTCATGGGATACATGTGACTAAGCACTCCATAGACACTCATTCTCTTTGCTTTGACCAGCTGAGAATTTTTCTATTAACCGAAGTCGACTGCACAAAGAAATTTCTCCAATGAGGTCTGGGAGTTGCAATAATATATGGGAAGAGAGATAGAAATTTAGACAACAGTTTGAAACTATCTCCATTTTGCATAACTAAACTAGTAAGTTCACCCCTGGGCCCTGTGAGCTCCACAGTCATGGGTTCTTGGCTAAAACAGGCATGGATTTCTTCCTGCGGAAACATTTGGTTACTCTGATAACACTTATGCCACGATTGTACCCGTGTACATCTCTTGTCTCGTCAGCTCACAGCGTTCACCACTGGGTAAGAGTGCTGAGACTCCTCCCCTGCTCCAGCCTGCATATTACCTCCTGGTTCTATGAGAGCTAGCTAGTAAGGACACTTCCTTGTCAGAACCAATTTGATTTCTTTATTTCCTGTGACCAAACTATGTGGTGGCTTCCATAATAAGGTCTTATCATCAATTCTAGTGGGCAACCAAGAGCAATGCCAATTACCTGTATTTTGGGAGATCTTTGAAAAACTCCTGGCTAACATTATTTTTAGCTATTAGGTTAAGCATAATATAATTTATTTAAAATAGGTCAATAGATAGCTAATAGAGACTTGTTTGGAAAAGTCCACTTTTTGGGGTGTGTGTGCATATTTATGCATGTGCAAGTACTATAGTGGCATTTCATTTGTATTTTAACAAATAAGGCTTGCCTGAAGATCACAGTGTAAAACAGCCCCACTGGTCAGTCTTACAGACCATGTAGTGGTGACACACACCTTTAATGCCAGTAGCCACACTTGTTGCCATAGAAACTGGGCGGTGCATGCCTTTAATCCCAGGACTAGAGAGGATTATAAAACAGGAGGAGATAGCTCTCAGACACAGTCTTATTCCGAAATTCCTGGAGGAAGGATCACCATTTTGGGACTAAGGTTGAGGTAGGAGCCAGTGGCTGGCTATTATGCTTTTCTGACCTTTGTGTTGAACCCCAATTTCTCTCTGAGTTTTTATTAATCATGCTTCAAAGTACCTGTGTGCAGGTGCATATGCACACGTTCAGAGGACAATGTCAAACATTGCTCTTCAGGTGCCTCTTTTATTTGAGGCAACATGTCTTACTGATCTACTCAGCAAGTTAAGATTCAACTGTGGCCGCCTACCCAGGGCTGGGATTATAAACACACACCACCACACCCAGATTTTTTTGATCATGGATTGTGAAGATCACACTTTTGTCTCCATGTTTGTTATCAGCTGAACTGATGGGATCATTTGATGCAAGAAGGTATGGGGAAAATGTGATACATGATAGAAATGTCTAGTGTCGTTGTTGAAGCATGAAGAACTTGGAGAGACATGACAAGCATGGGGGTAGATCAAAGTTCTGTTTTCAGGGAACCAATGAGATGGCTCAGCTGGGGAGAGTACCTGTCACCAAGTTTAATGATGTAGAACATATAGGTGAAGGAGAGAACTAACTCTCACAATTTGTTCTCTGACCTTCCCATGCCGACATGTACATAGACATGAGCACACACACACACACACACACATGCACATATACACACACATTCAAAATAAATAAAGTTGAACTTTAATTTTTGTACCTATTTTGGAGAAATTTCTAACTATTCCACCTAGAACATCAGCCAGATAGCTTGCTGAGACATGCCTAAATTTCTTAACCATGGTTTATCAGCATAAGATGGTTGTAGAGATTAGCTCTCTCTCTCTTCCTCCCCTCTTCTTTCCCTCTCCTATACACATCACATTACGCTCACACAATAATAACAGTTATTACTAATTAAAAATAAAAACATACAATGGAGAAAGACACTAGATTTCTGCCCTCTGTATGTGCAGTTGAACTCATTCTCTAATATACATGTACACACTCACACACATACACACACATAGAAAGAAAATTGGTGTGAGAAGTCCTTCTGTATATTGTAGGGCCATATTATACAGGTCCATATTTTTATGTTTTATGGCGGCCAGACTTTCAGGCCATAGTTTGCACCTGCCACACAGAAGGCTAGGTAACCTTTCCAGACAAACTGATGCCACCATAAACAAAGGGTCAGGATATGCTAATGTTACTCTGCTCTTTCTTTGTAATTGTGGGAGATCACCCTGGGAAGAGGTGTTAATTCAGTCTACTTGACAGAGCAGACACAGTTGCATAGTTGCGAATGTGACCCAAGTCCCGCTGTCCCAGAAACAGAATACTAATGAACTTCCCCCTCAGTTTGCCTTTTGATATTAAAGCTGTTTGGATAACAAATGCAGGAGATCTTCAGGATTTGAATGAACCTGAGACTCCCTCCTAATATTGCTGTGTGAACTGTGCCTCAATTATTCCCACGCCTTTACACTGGTCTGAGAGATAATTTATGTCGGGGCTGGACCTCAACAGTATATGTGTTGCTTTTATTGGTTAATGAATAAAGGAGCTTACTTGACCTGTGATAGGACAGAGTAGAACTAGGTGTGGAGGGGAGAGTCTAAACTGAATGCTGGGGAAAGAAGGCAGAGTCACAAAATGCCATGGAGCCACCAGAGCAGAAAGACGCGAGCTGTCAGCTGGAACCTTTCTGGTAGGCCATGAGCCTTGTGGTAAAATATAGATTAATGGAAATGGGTTAATTCTAGATCTAAGAGTGTTAAGCCCAAATCCGCAAAGTCTGCGCAGAAGCCAACAAGGAGACCGAGTCCCATACGTAAAAACAAAGAGCCTTTATTTTAAGTAAATTTGCAAACTCAGTCTCTTCACATGACCAATGTATTGAAATAAACAGAGAGCCTTGAGCTCAGTTAGAATAGGGTTTTATAGTAGTAAAGGCAGGGCTGAGGGGTTTCTGAGATTTAGGACCCCTAATTGGCTGACATTTGTCTAGGGGTGTTCTGGTGAGTGTGTGCTGGCAGGTGATCCTATCTATAGTGGTTGGAACGTTAGGCATTTCCTTTGGATGGCCTGTTCTTGGGTGGTGCTCAGGTAAACTTAGCTTGTGGTTCTTCCTGCAACCAGGTGTCTCTTCAGGGTAAACTACTGAGACCCAGGCCTTTTGTTAAATTTATCGATGGCTAAGTCCTGCTCTGGCAGGTGATAGTGGTTGGAAGTAACGAACTTCCTTTCTGTGACCTGCCCAGACTTAGCTTATCGTGGCTGGCTCCCACAAGAGCTAGCTAGCAATGTGCTTAAGCTATTAGCCAAACAGAATTACAAATAATATAGTTTTGTGTGATTATTTTGGGTCAGGGTGACCAGGAAAAGAACTAACGACCTCCGTCAACAGAAAACAGTTGGAGAAATTTCTCTATTCTTCCATTCTTCCATTAACCTATTCTAACATGGCATGGGTTCCTTTGTCTCGACTGCAACATTTGTTCTAATTAAATCACCCACAGTATCCACGTCATCAAACCCAGTGACTCCTTTTCTCTTCTTATAGTTCCCGACTCACAAACACATTGGGTACATTATTGCTTCCATTACAACACTTTCCCATCCTGGAGACTATGGCCCTCTTCTCTCAGGTACATTGCTCTTCTCTGAGTGTTGTTACCCACAATGCCTCAGCCTCCTGCATCTGGTAGCTAGTCTTTCCTAGAAAGTTCAAGAAGGCTTCAGTTCTTTCCACGGTGGATGTGGAAGGAAGGCAAGCCGTAGCTGGCTGCCTTCCCTTTCTTGTAGATCCTCCTCAAGGATGGTTCCATTTGTTAAACTTGAATCTCTGGTTCCCAGGGGAGCAGAAAAACAGGGCATTGGTTAGGTTGTAAAGTCAAAGGCTTTCCCTGAGAACTGTGGGTGCTAACTAAAGCACATTGACTTCTGATGGAAATATTCTAGAAAGGGTAAAGAGATGAATGCTGTAAAAGAGAGAAAGGACAACTGGGACCAAATGACTTGAGAAGAAAAGAGACACAGAGCAAAGGGAGGGCCTGGCCGTGAGTCAAGCAAACAGTCCCATGTAAAGGACAGCAGAACACTGAAGCAGACGAGCATAAGAATTCCTCCCACCGGGCCTTCGCTCCCCTTACTGCTCTCATCTTAACTAGCCCCCTTTGCACACCCTGCTTTCCCAGCTTTATTTTTCTCCATGGCCCGTGTGCATATCTCCAGAACACGTATCCCTATTCACAAATGCCATCTTGACTTTCCTCCTTCCTTTCTTCCTTCCTTCCTTTTTTTTTTTTTTTTTTTTGTTCTTTTGGTTTTTATAGACAGGGTTTCTCTGTGTGTCTCTGGCTGTCTTGGAACTAGTTCTGTAGACTAAGCTGACCTTGAACTCACAAAGACCTGCCTGCCTCTGCCCCCTGAGTGCTGGGATTAAAGGTGTGCACCACCATTACCCGGCTCTGATGTTTCCTTAAATTACACTCTCTCTCTCTCTCTCTCTATCTCTCTCTCTCGTGTGTGCACATGCACATGTAGAGGTCAGAGGACAAACTGCAGAGTCCAAGTCTACTTCCACTGTGTTAGCCCTGGTTATGGAATTCAGAATGCCAGGCTTGGTAGTAAGTGCCCTTACATTGACCCCCTCCCCAGAGTGATGATTTTTTTTTAAGTTTTTCTTCCCTTACTGGATATACATTCCATATATATTTGTCATTTTTCTTAGCATCTAGAAAAGTACATAGCTGATACTCAGTTTAATATCAACCAAGTAAGGAAGCTGCTGAATGGTTAAGTATTGTATCTCAGAGAGCTGTACCCTGGGAAGTGGCACTGGGAGAAGGTGATACTCTGAAATGATGGTGTTGCAAGGCAACAGTTCTATGGGCCACTTGGTGAGAACAGCCTGTATCTTAGGGGATGTGACCACAACGCTCTCTTCTGTGTTGTTAATTGGCTGCTATTGTGATCAAGTTCCGAGCCCCTCTGAGCCACAAGGATTAGGACTATTTTTTTTGGCACAAAGTGAGTAAACAGCTCACCCTCTTGGCTCATTTATTTCCCATGGCTCTCTGTTTTCACTAAATTGCTTAATCCCTTTCCAGACCAGTTTTGGCACCTGTTCTGCTTTTCTCTCCTCAAAGTTGGGGCATGGATTAGGGTGGACAAGGGCAATGAAACACCTGGCCAGGAGATTGCAGCTAGAGGATTCTGGCTGACCTGGAGCCGTGGCACTGGGGGCGGCCCCAGGCAAACTCAGCTTGGCCAATCCAGAGTTTTCCAAGCCTCCAGGCTGCAGGCCTCAGAATTGATCAGCGTCCCTGAACTTGTCCATCCTCAGTCTATCCGTCTGTCTCGGCCATGGCGAAGCTGATAGGGCTCACCCTCGTGGGACTGCTCTTGGCATTCTATAAGAACCACCAGTCTTCCTATCAGTAAGTTTGTTACAGTGAATTGGGTGGGTGGGGTGAGGGCTGCAGCCCCGTGGACCCCACCTCTGCTAGCTTCAGGAGCACCTCTGCACCCTAGAGTAGCCTAGAGTAGAGGAAAATCTGTAGATTTAGCAAATCTTCCTTTCAGGCTTGGAGAACTTCAGTTTAAGGCTCCGCTGAGGGGGGGCAGAAAGCCTGCTTATGGACTGAGCTGTACAGAAACGACTGTTCCCTGGTGTGGGCCACATGCTCCAGTGAGTGCTGAACTGGAGAAAAGGGGAGTCATGCATGTGACTACTGGGATGGCTTTTGCTTTGAGCAAGGCATCT